TGTTGGTAATTATTAGTTATTAATGTGTTTATCAAAGCTGAACATAAATATGCAGATTTGCCTTGATTAAAAATCAAGTTCATAAGGGTTTCAGCCCCTAAATTGCCCTCTAAACCACAATTTCCCTTTTCATAGTCATATATACTTCACCTCTTCACCCTCCTCTATGTGATAATCCTTGCGTATGTTGGGGCCACCGACATACATGATGTTTAACTGATGGAAGAACCTGAAAATCACACGTTTACTTCCTAAGCTCAGTTTAACGATTTAAGCAGTTATTCCATTTAAATGGGCGCACAGTTGTAGTTACTTACATCAGTTTGTTGCACACTGGAGGAAAGAAAGAATTCTCATTCTCTGCGATCCACTTGTCTATGTTGACATGAAGAGACTCGTTTGTCATGATTTTAGTGATACTGAACGCAGGAAGGCAGGAAGCAGCTCGTCTCTGAGCGGTTATCTCTCTGTGCAGGCTGACTGAAGCTGCTTCTGCTGAGGGTAGAAAAGGGGGCGGACAGGACCTGAGAGCCACGTGTTTAACAACGAGGGCCAGTCTGAAGTCTCTGTTTACATTTTACCGGTTATCGAGCGGTGCAGACGTGGACCATGAACCCAGACCTTGCCTTTGGAAGTGACCTAATAACTAACCATTTAACGGATTTTTCGTATATTAGCTAGTTGAGCTACTTTACTGTTTTTTTGGTTTCAGTTCACGTTTAGGTTTAAAACGGCCATGGAAATGTAATGGCTTTGATGATAAGCTAGTATTAAGCCACGAGTCTGAAGCTGACTTGCTATTCGCCAGCTTCTTGTTCGAATTTCCCCGGTCCGCCTTAAATGGTGCTGCTGATACATTCTGGCATCTCGGGCGCCGGCGTGTAACTGCACCGTTTAAGGTGGACCGGGGAAACTCGAACAAGAAGCTGAGCTCAACTCCGTTGTTAAGCCTGCGTATTAGTTATATGTTGAGCAGAAGTCTGGTTCATTAAACAGTGGCTAAAAGAAACCACTTTCAATGTGATCCATGAAACCCCGCAGATATTTAGACAGAATGGTCCGGTGCTTATTAAACTAAAACGACGTTAACCTACCTGGTTAGCTAGCTAGCCTTAGCTTAATGCTAAGTGTCAGCCAGCTCTCCAGGGAGATTAACCCATTGGCTGTCTTTGTAGAAATTAAATCATTTGTCTTATTTAAGCTCAATCAGTACGTGTCGGCAGATTCTGAGATCAATTTACATAGAAAACATACAGGTTTTAACTCAACTGAGTGACGTTAGTGGCTTGCTAAGCTAACGTTAGCAAGCAGGCTGACCTGTTTCTGTTTGTGCGGGTTGTTTTGGTGAAATGAAGACAGAATTATTCATCTGCTCGCTCTGTCAGAGCAATAAACGCACTGATATCGCAAAAAGAGATCGTTATTAGTCTTTTTTTCCGGGACTCAGATACACTTTTACTGTTGTAATCAAAAGCCGTGCAGGGTGCCGGGAAGGATGTAGCTCCAGTGGCGCAATCGGTTAGCGCGCGGTACTTATACAGCAGTACAATGCAGAGCAATGCCGAGGTTGTGAGTTCGAGCCTCACCTGGAGCAGATCTTTTGGACTCGCCCGAAATGTAGACACAAAGCAGGGCGAGTGAAAACGACACAAGGTAGCAGTTACACGAGTATTATAATATCAGTACACTGGCACAGTAGAACCGCAGGAGATGCACAAAATAAACTGAAGACACACTTCAGTGGCAAAATGCTGTGGACGTTTTTAAGTGTTTTACGTTGCGAGTGCTCTACTTGAACAATTGCAAATTCGGTGCACTGTTCTGAAATATATAGCGTTTTGAACTCAGAGGGCTCATGCACGGTTCCAAATACAGCATATATTTCCTTTCCTCTTCCTCTTTTTTTATAGTCACGTTTACACTACAGAGAGATGAGTTTCTTATAAAAGTTGAAGTAACATGTAACATTTAATATCCTTATTTTTTTATTATTTTATTTCCCCGGACCTAATACTTGTTTTTGTCAGCAGGTGGCAGTGTAGGATAATCGAATAGGCCCTTGCACATCTTTAAAACGCGTGCCAGATGATGGCAGTGTTGTACAAGGGTTCAGCCTGCTGACAGCCTCTCTCTCATCTCTCTCTCTCTCTCTCTCTCTCTCTCTCTCTCTCTCTCTCTCTCTCTCTCTCTCTCTCTCTCTCTCTCTCTCTCTCTCTCTAGCTGTACTCTGTCTGGCTGTTTAGAGCTGCTCTATATGTAATTGTAACAGAGGAACTGGAACCTATAGGAGTGAGAAATGCACTTGTTCTATGTAACAAGTGCATTTCCTATGAATATGAGAGAATATGAGTCTTTTTTCCAGGTATTCCATAAAAATAATAAACCTCTAAACTGTTATTGCTCATTGTAGTACTTTCTACTATTAACAGACTCTTTGTGGATCAAACTAGTAATCTAACCTAAAGTGATTATGTTAGTGTTTGATCTGTTTATTGACAGTTCTGTTATATAACTGCTTGAGATTCATTATATTTTTTCCATGCATATATAAATTGTTTGCAGGTAATTTATCCACAGTAAATATAATAAATTATGCTTTTCTGCCATCTTGATGCAGGTTTGTGTGTTTGCTCTGACCATTCTTTACTGCCAGAGTCTATATGACTAATGATTGCAGTATGTTTTATATTGTATAGTGTGAAATTTAGATCTAGTGGTTGTTTCAACCCAGGTGGTCTTGGTAAGTGAAGCTGTTGGACTGTGCAGATTTGCTGGAAAGCTGGCTGTGAGCTGATGCTATAATAAATCAGATAAACCATCAGGTTTAAGACTGAGTCAACAAATCAAGCCTGGAGAGTACAGACACCTAGCCATAAACAACACCTCCCCCAATCCCCAAACTCCAGTTCCAGTGTGGCTTTCTCCTGTGGAGAGCACTTGAGGCGAAGGTAGAATTAACATGAGATCAGTGCTCTTAAAAATAGGTTCTTCAAAGGTTCCTGGCATGGACGCATGTTTCTAGGATAAAAACTTTCATTGGTGTAGTTATACAGCTCTATGATATAATTCCTATATAATAATGTGATGTAAATATCATGGTTCCTATGCTGTTAAATACACTGAAATCTTAAATCTACTGCTTCCTTAAATTCACTGCCACTTTAAATTTATTGATACCTTAAATTCGTTGCTACCCTAAATTTACTGATATCTTAAATCCATTGCCACCTTAAATTCATTGCCATCTTTAATTTACTGACACTAAGCACACTATTATAGTATGGGGCCTTCAATCCTGCAAAGTTTCGTGGTTCTAGCTCAAGAACTGCAGGACGAGAAACATTTTATTTTTTGAGCATAGAATAAGAAGAAGATTACAAAGAACAGCAAGTTGGCTCAAGCCATCTTAATAATCTGAAAAAAATAAAAGGTTCATTGATCTTGAACATAATCTCCTTTTTCACTCTTCAAGTATAAATTATGTCTTCATTTGTGTTTATGTATTCAGGCACTTTTTGCAAGTAATAACTCACTGAAACTGAGGAAGCAGCCAGGGAGACGGCTACCTCTGCCCTGTAGGCCATGACCTTACATACAGCACACTTGAGGTGTGTTCTTGTGAAATCAGTGCCCTGCACATACAGGCCCTCTATCAATGGCAAGTCAGCAGCATCCATCATCACAGTGTTCTGTCTGCACTTGTGGTGTGTCAAAGGAACGTATGCCAACTTGTTTTTGGAACACAGACAAGACCAAACTGATCACTGATCACTACAGTGCACTTTATTATCCAAACACTTCCAGGAATGTTTGTCGTAGGTGCACACTTTCACACTAATTCTGCCCTTCTGTTTTTTTTTTGTTTTTTTTTGTTTTTTTATTAATTTGTAGTTAAATGCTAATTTAAGGTAGGTGTGAACTGTGATGATGACTGTGAAACAAAGCAAATCCTGGTTGACGATCCGTTTAAATATGGTTGAACATTTCTGAATATGACGTTTCAGTGACACTTTATTTTGAGTGGTTCTTTTTAGATTAAACAAACACTCAACAGACTCTCAGTAACATGTCAAAAACATATGAGGGGTAGGATTAGGATTTGGGTTGAGGTTAAGGTTAGGGTTAGGATTAGGGCCAGGGTGAGGGTTAGGATTAGGGACAGGGTTAGGATTAGGTTTTGGGTTGAGGTTAAGGTTAGGGTTAAATTAGGGCCAGGGTGAGGGTTAGGATTAGGGTCAGGGTGAGGATTAAGTGTTGGGTAAGGTTAGGTTTGGCATAATGGAAGTAACATATTAACAATGCAGCTACTTAATGTAAGTAATGTATCAACAGAACATCTACAAGATATTTACTTCAGTGTATTCAGATGCTTCACTACTGCTACTTCACTGATATGTTGTTAATGTGTTACTGATAATCTGTTCAGAGTTTATTAATCATCTAAAAAAGGACCACTCCAAGTAAAGCGTTACTGAAGTTTCACTTTCCAGATGATCTAGCTGCTTTTCCTCTTACCTCATCTGCTTTCAGGCTGGCGTGTTTTATAGAAGACAAGGAATAACTGTGTCTCATTAGAAAGCTATCCTGTAGCTTTTGTTTACAATCAAAACATGGCACACTGAGCCAAGACATGCAAAGAAAACCCCTCTTCCATGACACGCACATTAGAGCGATGCATAACATTTTATTAACAGGAAATTGTGCAAGAAAAGCTGCACTTAGGATCTAAGACTTTGGATAGCTTTGCTTTTGGTGACATTTGGAATAAAATTATGTACAAAGATCACAGAACTAATGTTAGATTTTGTGAGTCATCCTTTCTCCCAATGAACAAACATGATATGTGTTTTTATTCATTTATTTGTTTGTAACCAGATGTCCCCTCAGGCAGATCTGGTAAAAATGTGTTTCTAAAAGTTGGCTTAGTGTGATTTTATTACAGCAGTTAACGTTTCCTGTTTATCTTGTTTTATTTAGGGATCTAACTAGTGAAACTGCTGAAGCGCCATTGTTTTTGCCACTAATAATCTTTTTCTGCCACCTTTTGAAGGTTATTTTTCTCTAAATCTTAGCTTTTTTGAAACTTGGCAGCTTGATAGAAGTCTATTATAAATGAATACAGCAGTGCTGGCGTCCAAAGGCCCATGCATCTAGTAACACCATTCACATTTCTCAGAGGAATACGGTTATAAGAAAAATGATGCGTTAAAATTGCTGGTCAAATTTAATGTTCTATTGATTTCCTCAAAATAAGTAAACACATCATCTAAAGGGAACACATTTCTGAACATTTTAATGTATGATTACTGCTTGTATTTACAAAATGTAACGCATTAGCTAACACATACGATAACTCGCAAGTTTCAGTGTGAAATTTACAGTCAGTACAAACAGAACAGACAACATATTAGAAATAACAGTGAAATATTGTTGCGTTTGTGGCTGTAATGTTAAATGGACCCAATAAATTTTACTTACATTTTCCAGTTTTCCAGCTTTAACAAGCAGGAAGTGCTTATTATTAAT